TTGTTCCGGTTGGACAGGACACAAAAGTTTAATTAAATTCTTGGTCGTGAATGACCGATCCGTGAAACGGACACAGAAATGTGTTCGACCCATAGACATTCGACAATTTTTTTCTAATACTGTCATCATAAAATTATATGTGATTTGATTTAATATTGTTAAAAAAATTATTTGGTACGTAATATTACTATGTAATTAAATTAAAATACGTAAACTTTGTTCGAAGTATATTTGTTTTTTCTTTTTAGTTTACTGTTTCCAGTCAATTATTTTTTGATAATTTATAATGATTTTTATTTAATACTCTCAAGCGAACTTCGTTTTTTGCTTAGTAAAAAAAATAGATATCATTACGTACAGTAGTAAAGTCCTACCAATAGATTGTTACTTTATTGATTGATAAAACCATGACATAAGCGGGACTAGAATCTACGACCAACAGCAGTTCGTGCGTTCGGTTAATCTCCTTGTAAAGCTAGGATAATCGAAAGCGGTCTCAATTAGAAATTGGTTAAACAGCGACTCATAAAGCTTTCGTTAGTTTATTTTCTCAAAGGATAAACTTTTTTCATTATAGAATTTAGAACGGAGCTTTTGCAGATTCGAATTTTAAAATCCCTTACTTTTCAGGAGTTCAGCCTGAAGGAATATTAACCCAGATCATGGAGATTAAAACCCACATCTACAAAGACATCTTTGATGTTACTATCTAGGACATCGGGGGAACGAGTCTCTTTCACAAGCTAACTAATGATGCATATAGTCTATTGACTATGTATATATGAGCGTTTAAACAAACATTTTTCTGTAGGATATTAGTCTAGATAGTTTTTAATAAATCATTCATTTCAACATATTAATATTGAACTGCCCGCATGTCTCATCTTGTATGGGGCTATTAAAACGCGACGTGTACCTATTAGATTCTGATACTTTGCAGCAGCGGTGGAGGACGTCAGTTAACTAATACACTTCTCATTTTAATCCGTTATAAGTATTAAATTTCGATGTATATTACTACTATAAAATATAAAATGTATATAAAGTGTAGAAAACAAGAGAAAATTAAGCATTTCATCATTTGAGGTTATCTCAACCTATTTTTGTAATAATCCTAACTAGGGTACTTTTTAAGTCGGTCGGTCTATTGAATTCAGTATATCTATATTATATATCTAATCGAGACAGCTGTGATATTTCTCATTGGGAAGCACGTGACTTGGTTCCGCAAAACGCGAAGAACAATAGAAGGATACCTGAAGGTGATTCGCTGGGACCCTGTGCGTATTGAACGTTTGAGACGCTGTCGTATAGAAAGCTAATTGAAAGCGATATATTTGACGTAGTCCAATTTAAGACAATAATTAGCTGTTTATATTCATTTGTAGTAAATACGCTATACAGTGACGTAAATCTGGTATAGATTAATAATAAAGCTAAATAGTTTTTTTGTTCATTTGAACGCGCTAACGTCAGAAACTGTTGGTTCGAATTGAAAAATTTGTGTTCCACATTTATTGATGAAGGCTATTAAACGCTGCGACTAATACTAAAAGCGAAGAAACAGTGAGAAATGTGGAAAAAACAAGAAAAATATTTATCTATGTGGGTTTTTTACGCGTGCGCTACGTAATCGGTTTAAAAAACCAAAAAGCTATCTAGGAAGAATAATTATTTTTTCTTATGTTGCCCAATATCACGTTTTACGTGGACAAAGTCGCGGGCACAGCTTGTACTTATATAAGTAACTTTATTTTTTACGAACTTTAAATTCAACGATTTATTTATTTTTATACATATGTCTTAAATCAAAGAGCATTTCGTTTTAGTTGATCAGTCTCTGTTCGTTTTTCTATATTTTTTTATTTCTGAATCAAAATTTCTTTAAACAGATTTCATATAGTAAGCTTATTACATAATTATATTTCCGATATGGTCCTTCGTCATTGTTCAAACATCGCTTAGCTATATGACTGAAGCCTAAGGGTTACTTAATGCTCTCCATTCAGAAAAGGGGACGCCGAAAAATATTTTGTTATGACAAGTATTTTTATGAAGTATTGTTTTACATAATCATTCAATGTATAAGATAAAATTATTATATCGACATTTAGAAGAATTTATTGAATTTTAAATTGAAAGTATGGTGGTTCGTCGTTTGGACGCAATTTCGTAATCCCTACCGGGGTGGTTTAATATGATTTCCAAGAGATTTTCAAAAAATTATAAATCGACTAGCTTTTGCCCGCGACTTCGTTCGCGTGGACTTCAGGTTCGTCCCGTCTAGTCTAGTAATTAGTTAGAAATACGGTAACTAAGCACTGCAGAGCCCTAATCATAGGTCTATAGGTCCTCTGCAGTATCTCCTATAAACTATTAACGACTTTTTCCTTCAGCATAAACATGCAGATTCCTCGCTTTGGAAAGACGTGAGCAAGCCACATAGAGCTGACGTGAGAAAATTTTTATGTTTTTTAAAAAACGGCGAGACTCATCTTTTCATTTGAAAAAAAAGTTCTTTAAGAGGTTCAAAGCTCGTCTATTGAAGGAAGAACTACTTTTCCTCCCGAACAACACATGCCTCCTGCTTCCTCTTTCCATTTAAGAGCACCGCAAAATCTGCATTCTTTATTCATCGCTTCTATTTTTATAAGCTTGTGGCTTTCGTAATCAAGAGTTTCATCGTACTCAATGTTTTATCGAACTGTCGATCCTGCGACTGTTCGGGTGTTCAGAAGCCTGTTGAATCCCAGATATTCAGCTTCTGTTGACGTCGAGATTGAGACTTTCAGGTGTCTCTAGGTGAGATCTAGATACTAGATGTGTGACGTCTATTTGGGACTGCTCTGTGTTAGCAGCTTTTGAGCTGCCTCACGTCTGCTTGTTTAAGCTTCGTGGTTGTGGAAACTCTGTTAAGTCTAGTACTTTTATATTTGTTTTATGAGCTTAGAAAGATTAGACTTACGCTTTCGCGCATAATTTTAATACTGTTTTCTATACTTCCAAAAAATACAGACGGAGTTATTGTTATATGTACTTTAATGAATCCTTGCCTATTTAATTAACCTATCTATAGTTGAATTAAATGAAGTATCTTTTTGTACGTGTAACTCCTAACCAAAAAGAAACCTGGCAATAACAACCTTAGGCTTATATAACTAAAAGTAGGCGACCATTCGTTTTTATCAAATGCTAGTGTTGAAAATTCGAAAACGAAAACCGTCAAGACTCTCCTAGCTCTGCCGATTTCGGCGGACTAGGATGAGCACTTCTTCCCTACCGCACCTACCCCGCTCCCCCACGCCCCGTTGCTGGCACCGCTGCCGGTATTTATCGCCGAAATTCCTATACTCTGATTTTAAATCTGTGATATCTTCGAAAATATTTATTTAATTTACATGCTGTAAAAAGCCATATTGATCTTTAATAAATGCACAATGTATTTAAGATACTTAATTGGATAAGGATTAATACTGTATTGCTTAAAATCGCTTCGTAAATAAGCCATTATTTTTCGTACAAAGTAAAGGATAAAAAATGGTTATTGTGGGTTATTCCTAAGAGATACATATACCATAGGACTTTTTTGGAGACCTTTTTAAGTTGTACAATACTGTAGTACATTGTTTTGATCTATCTTGTAGGATTCAGTAGCGTTTGCAATGTAAGCGCAAAAAATGTGTTTTTTTAGACCCGACATTAAAAACCTCAAAAATTGTAGCTATATTTATTTGATGTATAGTATATTGGTATTTATTCAAATCCATTCGGTTTTTAGTGAAAGAGTAACAAACATCCATACATCCATACATCCATAATCCATACTTACAAACTTTCGCTTTATTTAGTAGATTTGAAAAATGTTGTTCCCGGTGAGGATCGAACCAACGGCCCGTTGATGATAAGCCATAAATTGCTAGCATTACATCAACAAGGCCGTCAAAATTCCTATTTACTAATTTGATTGATGTATCAACTTCATAGATTTACTACGATCGTGATGTAGAGCCCAGCGCTACCTCAAAGAGAACGAATATAGAAAAGGTCATTAGCCTCATCGTCACGGGTTCTGGTTGGCCCAGATAGAGTAAATATTTGTGGAGATCTTTCAGAAATCGATCTTAGTTTCAATGAAAACACTCGGGTTATAATTGAACTGTCCATTCATTTAGTTTGATACATCTTGCCAAGACTTTTGCGGCGGTGAATGACGCGGTGGTGATAAATAACTTAGACTTTAATAATAATTATAACAAAAAGAATTGATCAAACCACTTTAGACAGCTTTTTTTTTCAATTTATTTTTGATTTTTAAATCTACTTTTGACTAAATTTTATTTGATTAAACTTGTCTATTCTTCTCAATAATATATATAAATAAAAAATAAGTATATGGTTGTTTTACTGCATAGCGTGAAAAATGTATATACAAGTTTTGATTAAGAGTCTGATTTTTATATATAAACAAAAAAATATATAATTGTGATAATAATTAATCAACGGTAAACTGTTTTACAATATAAATAATAAAGACATCTAGATTCAAAACTGCGATGCTAAACGAAGAAACACTGCTTTATCAAAATTTTTAATTGTCGAATGTAAATTCTTAAGAAGCAGATTTTTATTTATGGAAAAAACAAATTAACATTTTTGAAATATTATCTTCTTCCGAGATAGTACATTTTATTTCATCGGAACGAAACACTTTAGGTTAGTTTACTCAAAATAGTAAAACTTTATTCGTTTAAGTTACTTCGGTCTTGCCTCAATACACAGTAATTCAGTCATCACATACACGAGCGGTTTTGTAATCTTTAGCAGGTTTATGTTAGATCAATTTGTTTGTATAGGTGAACGAACGCTGAAATATATAATCAATCATATTACGTTTTCAGCGAATGATATCGAGAAGTCGACAAGAAACTTCCTAAAGTAATATTGCCTTTTGTTCCAGGCGGGCGATTGTACAAACATGAACGCTACTTAGGGCTGGGACGATGTTTATCGATAAAATGTGGTGCGTGCTGCTGCTGCCCGCCCTAGCGGCGGCGCTGTCTTCGAGCGACTCCGACACTTGCAACCCAGATAAGATGACAGTTTACAAAATGGTCTTACACACTTACTGGACAAGGGAGAAGTTTCCCAAACATTATCCTGACTGGCGGCCTCCGGCGCAGTGGTCTAGGGTTTATGGTAAGTTATTTTTGTAAAAGCATTTTTTTTACGACTTTTATATTAGCCTTTATTTGGAAAAATGTATTACAATAGTTATGTTGTTGGTACGACTTTTATGGAGTAGGACTTAAAGAAGTCTGCAGAATGACATTATTACTTACATAAGTGTGAAAACTTCATATTATATAATACAAGCTGACCTGTTAAACGTCCTTTTGATAAATGAGGTATTTAATTATTATAAAGATTTCCATAAAAACGGTTCTTATAAGTTAATCTTAAAAAATAGATGTATACTGATTATTATTTAAAGAAAAATAATTCTCTCGTGTATATTTTCGGGTATCTTGAACCAGATAACGGTACCCACTAATATTAATAATTTTCCCCATTTTCCCTACGTTTGTTAGCTCCTATTGTTAGCAGTATTATCCTATTGTTAGTTTCTGAGATAAGCGCGTTCAAGCAAACAAACTCTTCATGTTTATAATATTAGTATGAAACATTTAAGAAATTGTTAAATTTGCAAAAAACTCTTTCCACGATAATTAGTACGTAGAATTCAGGAAAAGTTTTGGGCAATAAGGTAACTTGATTAATATTGGTAAAATGTGGATAACGATTCTCCGTTGTTATTTTCACGTAAAAATCTTCATACATAACTACAACACAAATCTAATTCTTGCTGGTTTTGAAATTTAAAAAAGTAATAAACATCACTTCATTTGAAAATAAAAACGGCACTCAACATTATGATTGTACACAATACGAAATTTAATTAAAAGTAACACTGGAATCGCGATCATTTCAAAACAAGAACTAAAGTACTCCAAACTTTTAGTTTGATGAATAAAATTTTATTATTGTGAATGAAGTTATGAGTGCGATGATACTATTTTCAGAAGACTATGTTGGGACAAGTGAAAATAGTTTCGAGTCAGACGTTAGCGTTATTGGACTGTACTTTTTAATATAGATGATTAAAGACGAGCATGGAGATCACTTGATGGGAGGTGAAATGAATGAAGCCATGCAACATTAAACAAAATGCGGTGTCGCCCTTTTTTGGCTTTGGATATTCGGAAATTCAAATTGAAACCGAAACGTGGTAAAATTATCCGTGAACAGTAGTTTGTGACGCGGACGGAATTTCGATATTCCTCCCATTTAATTTCCAGATTTCCAAACTGTGAACACGTTTTAGAAAAATTATAAATGGATTATAAACATGTTGAACCCATGGGGATCGAATCTAGGACCCGTTGATTATTGCTACATTTGAAAACTTTAATATTTACTACTTACTACTGTCTGTGTCGTAAGTTTATCCTACATTGCTACTACACGATATTGCTTCACTAAAAGTAGTCTAGTTCCAAGTTCTTTCAGAATAAGTTAATTATAATTCAAAGCATCTAATTAACATATAACCGTAATTTATTGGTCTTAGAATAATTTAAGCAGTCATAACTCTTCAACTATTTCGAGTACCTATGAAACAAGAGAATGAATAGCGATGTCCCCCCTTATTGCATTATACGCCCTACGATATTGGCTTAGAGCCAGCAGTGACCGCTAAAATAGACACTTATCGATAGTGACAGGAAACAAGATCTCTACGCAACACTATTGTGTTTCGGGAAGTAAGGAACAAGACATTCAGAAGACGATGTGGTTAAACGAGTTTTTATTATCTCTAGTTATAGATATGATATCATACAATATTATAGAAATTTTCTGCGAATAGTTTTGTATAACATATTTGATTGTTATATGATTTTTAAATAACTAACAATTAGTATATTTAAATACTGTTATAGTTTACGCGAGTAGTACACATTAAAATAAAACACTTTAAAGGTTTAAAACGCGATATATTAGTTTAACTTATTTGAAGACGATTTTTAACTTCGGCCCCACGTTTCGGATGCTGCGGACGAAGTTAAAAATAATTTTCAAATAAGTTTAACTAATGTAACGCGTTTTATACCGTTAAAGTGTTTTATTTAAATTAGTATATTTTGTAATTTCGTATTTCGAAAAGCAAAAGGGTGTTCAAATAGAAAATATTCTATTTGAAATCCCATACTTGTCTCCTCTGTCATATAATGATTACACCGTGGAAATTTGCACAAATACATAAAGAAAGAAATTAAAGGAATAAATGAATATAAAAGATAAATACATTAATAATTGCACTAACGTCATTTTCGAATTTTACAGCTTCGTATTAAACCTCTATCAATTTGATTTTACTAGATCGTTCCGAACAATTTATTGTATAAATAGTATATCCATTAAAAAAAATATATTTTATCGGTTTTTAACGAGACAAATTAGTTAATTTATTTTAACTATGGCCTAATGTTTCGATTGTTTTGTAGCAGCCGTGGTTACGGGGGACTCTCCGCAACTGCTCCAATAAGTAAATTGTAGATATAACTATTATATTTCGTTTTATAAATGTGTATTAGGTATAAACAAAAGTATTTGGCGATAATATGTATGTCTATGAAAATACATTACTACAAACTCTTAAGCAAGTATTTTCTTATCTGAAGCAAAACTATCTCCAAACTTTTTCGACTGCTCTTAAAATAACTTTCGGCGAAACTTGCCACGTAGTTTAGGTTTACTCTGTATGTTTAATCAGGACTCAGTCTCGCCTTCTGATTTTACTTTCATACTAATATTAACTTCATTTACAAAATTAGCGATGTGACTTCAGTTACATGAATAAAGTTTTGTTATTTTCATTAGAAATTAGATAAGAGCGTGCTGAAGATAGAAGATTCTTTGATTTTGGGCTTGAGAATTGCTACCTTAGAAAACCCATCTTACAAATAGTTAATGAATACAATAATAATAATTATCACAAACTTTATTTTATTTTTGAACATCCGCTTCTATACCTTCTTGATTATGTACATTAGTTAATATTTGTATATATATATATATATATATATATATATATATAGTTTAGGGTTCGAATCTCGGGAAAACACAATAAATAGTTTCAGGTGAGACAGAATCTTTATTAAGCACTTATCTGAAAATAAATTGCATCAGTGCCACGGACACAAAAATATGTCCAACCCATGGGAAACGGGATTTCATACTTTGTTAACGCCTAACGTTCTTAAAAATGGTTATTATTGAACAGTAATATTTTTTACATTTTATTTCACATGAAGGCACTATATAATTTTAAAAATCGAAAATAAATTGAAAAAATTCGACGATGAGTTGTAGGACTCGGTAGCTCAATTGGTATAGCAACAGCACGCAACGCTGACGATGCCAAACTACTTTTATATGGAGAATTCTGGTATCTTATTTACAACATATTTGCTATTAAAGAGTACATACATATTGAAAACCTTATTGATAATGTCTCTTATAATAAAACGTGTGTTGTCATCTTAATATCGTTTTCTCTTAAATACATAGTAATTTTTGTACTATCGAAACGCCTTTATTACTGTTTACGTAACGTTAAAAATAGCTTTCAGAAGGAAATCGTCAGTTTTATTTGGATATAAATTGTAGCTCTAAAGAGATTACCCATTGTTTGCCGACGCCCACGCGCCCAAGAAATTGGTCTTGTTTCGTCATTCGATCCGCTTTTGAGGGAACTGTAAATTGAAGGGATTAAGGGGGCAATTACGCGTCACACGATATTTTGATAACGTGAGACGAGATTTATATTATTAGTCTAATGATGTGAAATTGTTTTAGATTTATGTCACACAAGCGCGTGTAAGATTCGCGTTCACTAAGTTGGATTTTAAATATCTTTACTACAGATAAATACTCAGATAAGGATGATTTTCGCCTTACCGTATACAATATAAGTCTAGCGATGTACATATGTGGGACCAGGTACGAATACACTATTATTAGATACATTGGAAATACTCGCTCCACTTTTCTATTTTTAATTGACACTATATTAGTTACTAGACGGTGCTCTGTTGACGCATTGTGGTTTAGATTGTATTAATTTATTAAAAGAATTCAGGAAATTTTAATTTTCAAATAATTTACTTTGTGTTCTGATAATTTTGAATGCCTATTACGATTCTATATTTTAGTACCCTAACAAAGAATGTTATTTAAATTATAAATCTATTAGAATAAAAAAATACAACGCTGGTAGGACTTGAACTCTTCCACAACCTTCCGTGCTGCCGCTCCAAACCTCTTGAGCTACTGTGTCTTCGACAAAATCCCGTAGATTTTACTAAATATGTAATATTATTGTTTTTAAAAGAATGCGACTTTTTTTTTCAGTTATATGTCTTCATTATAGATGCGAGTTAAATGTCAATTTTTGTTCTTAGCACATTCATGAACGTCGATACAGTTAATTAAAAAAAAATCTAAATTTAGATTTACCACGAGAAGATTTAAGAAACTTGCCGCCATTTCTCGTATCGCCATATTTTATTAAGAAAGTCTTTACGCGCTTAAAGCGAAGTACATTGTTTAACCAGACAAGTATAATAAGTATTATCTTTACAGATAAGGCTCAGAACTAAATTAAATATTTGACAGCTCAATAGATTTTTCCTAAAACAGCGCTTTATTTTGAAGTTCAAATAACTTATAATTCGTTTTCTTAAAAAGATATCAATTAACGCCGTGTGTCACCAGACGTATTTCAGTGAAGCGCCACCAAACTCCGAAATTACATCACGAAATGTGTCATAGTTGCGAGTACTCCATCGATTATTCACTCAGTTGGCAACGATTCAATTGTTACTCGATTATCGCATTTCGATACCTGAACGAATACGAGGAAGTACGCTCTTAACATAGCTTAATTTAAACTAATGGTACGACCAAGTGATAGCGACAGAAATTTGTTTTTTTTACTAAGTCCGACTGTAACGTGAATTTTATCTGCGTATAGGACAGCCAGGTTTAACGTAGTCTGCGAGATTATGGAGGACTATGTTTAAAATTCATTAAAAGTCAAATTCCGTTTCCCCTCGTGGGACATGGGGGCGGACACA